CACACTTATACTATACAAAGGTCCTATTACCCCCCTGAACTTATTTTATTAATAATTTTTTACCCCTTTTTAGCCTGCGTGGCACTATCTTGTGGGCCCAACGATGGTTGACTTTTTTTTCAAACTAGTGCCACGTAAGCTAAAAAGGGGTAGAAAATTACTTATAAAATAAGTTCAGGGGGGTAATAGAACCTTAGTATAGTATAAGTGTGTCTCTGGGATTTCAGGCATAGGTTGAGGGGGTACTTGTGCATTTTCCCTTTTAATTATGTGAAGAACTTTAGTGAGAAGATTTCTATGAAGATCAAAGATGTCTCCATCAAAGTTTCTGGAACTATTTTTTATTACGAGTACGATTTTAGACAGTGATTTTTGTATGATATAATTTATTTGTATGTGATTATACTTTTTGATTAGTGAAATAATACTAGTAATCCTATAAGCTAATTAAGGTTTCATTTGGTAGAGTATATTGGCAAAAATAATGCATGCTTCAGCTCTATGTATTAGTAGTATCTTGTTTGTTACACTTTTTCATGCAATGTACAACCAATACTTGCATTAGTTATATACTATATTGTATATTAATGAGTGTATTACTAATTCCATGGTTTTCTAGATATTTTTAGAACAAAGGGATTTAATGCATGCATTAGCATGGTTAAAGACTCAATTACACTTCAAAAAACCCTTTACATCTTTTCCACTATAATTGTGGAGTATACTTTTGTAAATAAATATTTTTATACAATGCATGTTATTTTTAATACATCGAACCAAATAATGCATAAGAAATAATCTATGTATAACCAATGCAAGCATAACTAATACAAGTATTACTTTTTTTTACACCCTCCCTATGAGTTCCCACCCCTTTTGCTTCCTTGGTGACTCGAACTAACAACCTTCGGGTTGAAAGTGAGGGGTGTTTACCATCCGAGCAACTCCCTCTCGTCACTAATACAAGTATTACTAATACACAATTTAACATTATTTTTATACACTCTACCAAGAGTGTCATAAGGAAAAATAATGCAATGCAATAACCTTGTGTATTACTAGTATTTGTTTTGTATTGTAATATCTCACAATTTGAAATAGCTCGGAACAAGTTAAGAAACTAAAATATTCATTATTGGAAAGAAAAGGAAAAATCTGGGAAATTGCCTAATGTTAAGAAAGTGAGTTCTGGTCATTTTCAAACGGTCATAACTTCTAGCTTAGAATGAGTCAGAGATAGTTCTAGATATGGTTTGAAGTCCCTTGGAGAGATATTTTCAACAATGCCGAGTTTGCACATTTTGATATCGTATGAGGTAGATATGCCTATCGGATGTTGGGTTATTAAAGTAAGGAAAGTCCCAATCCGAATTTAAGGAAGGGCAAAATTTTTCACCAAGTAATTTCCTATTTCATTTTAAGAGGTTTATTGGGGTAAAAAAACTAAGTTTAGTTTAGTTTTGAAAAATCAAAATCACGCTTAGGGCTTGGAGAAGAGAGAAAAGAAAAAAGAAAGGGAGAAAAGTCAAGAATTCGCCAAGAACGCCAAGGTTTGCGAGTGGAATTCGTCAGTGTAATCTCTATCAAGGTATGTGAGATCTTTTTGTGTTGGGTTAGTTCACCCACACACCAACTTGTTTAAATTCAGCGATTTTGAGTTGGTTGAATGATAAAAAGTGAACTTCTTGAAGAACTTTGTTGAATTCTTGTTGATTGAGTTGCATGCCTAGTGTTGATTGATTCTTATTTTTGGGTTGTTTTTGAGTCAAATCTATTGGGTATTTAGGGTACTAATGATCCTAAGTGTTTGGGAGAACCATGGAAGTTTAGAAGGTTTAGAGATGAAAAATGAAGGAGAAGAGTCGCAGATATTCTGGGCAAGGGCTAGGGCGCCGCGCCTTCCAGAGCGCCACAAAAGTTCTTCTGAACTTTGGTCTCCTGGCACGTCGTCCCAGCCAGAGCGCCACAGAAAGTTCTCAGATATTTGAGAGTTGGCGCCTTCTCGCGCCTCTTAGAGCAACAGAGGCGCTAGTTCTCCTAATTATTTTTCCATCTTTTCATACTAAATCCTAAGTGATGTACCTACGATTCATAATTGATTCTAACACTCTTAGGTATATTTAAACATCATGAAATCATTAATAAACATGAGATTATGAACCTTGAATCTATAATATAATTCAAGAAAAGTTAAGATCAAAGTCAAAAAAGTTAAGAGTCAAGTCTAGAAGTTATGAAGCAAGTCCAAGCAAAGTTCTTAAGTGTTCTCAAGGGTCTTTAACAACGTTTTAAATTTGTTTTAAGGCTCAAGTTTCAAGTTAAGTAAGGATTAAAGAGTAGTTGAAGTTCTTCCTTCAAAGAAATATAAGTGAACTAAGTATTTCCTACGAGTTGATTTAAGACTCAAGTTTCAAGTTAAGTAAAGAGTAAAGAGTTGAGTTTCATTTCTCAAAAGTTATAAGGAAATTAAGTATTCCCTAAGAGTTTATAAATGTTTTTCACATTTTAAGATAAGAGGAAACTAAGATTTCCAAAAGAGTTTTGAGCAAGAAAAGGGAACACCGATTTCAAAAGAGTCGTTGGGCTAAGCATTGAGTTATTATCTCAAATTGAAGAAAGAAATTGCTTTAAAAACATGAGCTAAAGTATATTTTGGGAGTAGTATTGAGCATCGATGAGGGGATGAGAGTTCATATTAACTCAAGTCCCATGAAAATCATGTAGCCATCATATGTATTAACGGGTCATACTTTTTAGATGATCACGTAAGTTAAACTAGTAGATCCATTAAGTTTAGTGAATCTATGTGAAGACAAAGTATAAGATAGTTTTGGTAGCGTGGACAAGACGATGTATCACCAATTAGGCTCATGGTGGTGGTTGCCGGTTAGAGAATCTCCCACAGAAACTATATTACTTCATATATAAGTAAAGTTGATTTTGTTATTGCATTTGTTTAACGAACTAAGTGTTTTTCATTGTTTTACAAGCTTTATATATTGCATATGTCTAAAATTTTTGTATTAAGTCAAGTTATTCATGAGTTGAGCAGAGCCAAGGTAAGTGTTCCTTCTTACTCTTTTTCAAGCTTAAGTTGTTGTTAGCATTCCAACTCGCATACTCGTACATTCAATGTACTAATGCCAGTTGACCTGCATCGTATCATGATGGAGACACAGGTAACCAGGATCAGCATCATCCAACGCCTCGTAGATCCAGCTAAGCACTCAGAGTCAGTGGTGAGCCTCCTTGCATTCCGGAGGACACATTTATTTCTTTTAAGTCTTTCATAGGATGTTATGGGGTCTATCCCAACATCCATCTTAGTATTATAGATTCTTCATAGACAGTTAGTATTGAGTATCTCATCTTTGTATTGCTGACATTTTGTTATTGAGACTTATGTGTCATCTTGGCCAACTTATTTAATTTAAGTTATTAAATGAGTCTATTTCATTGAGTTAAGTCTTCCGCTAAGTCAAGTAAGTCAGACCAAGGTTTCCGCTAAAGGCCAGCAATGGTCATTGAGTGTCGGTCACGTCCAGGGTGTAGGCTCGGGGCGTGACAGGTACTCTATTCTAGCCTATGTATACACTCGATTGTGTATTAATGTGTGTATTATTAATATCATGGATTTCTAGGTATTAACAATACAATGGTTCTAATACATGCATTAGTATGATTAAAGACTCAATTACACTTCAATTTTTTTACTCTTTTTCCACTATAATAATGGAGGGTATCTTTGTAAATAAATTTTATTTTATGCAATGCATGTTATTTTTAATGCATCAAGCAAACAATGCATAAAAATAATCTATGTCTAATTACTGCAATTCATTGCTAATGCAAACATTACTAGAACACTATATTTATCATTTGAAGAAACCTTAACCATCTAGAACAAGAACCAGGTTCTTATTGAATTAGCAGAAATAAAACACACGTATGAAAAAGAGATTTATTGTGGAAAATCTTCTTACTCAAGGGAAGAAAAACAACTATCAACATGTCATAGGATTTCATCAAACTTCACGAACTTCAAAAAGAAACTTTAGATTACAACTCTATAATCAAAAGGACTAACTTTAGTACCGCATCTCAACAATTTACTCAAACAGTTCAACGATTAACTATAATCATTTATTCTACTCTACAAGAAACTTAAATCCGCTTCTTGTTACAGAACCTCATTTTCACACTCAGAACATTATCACTAATTAATGGTTCTAAGTTGAAATAACACAAACTATGTTTTAAAAAGAATATCTAACTCTAGTTCTTCTACTATGTTTTAAAAAGAATATCTAACTCTAGTTCTTCTTTCTTCTATCATCTTTCTCTTTTAATATCGAATGTGCTCTTGTCGCAAAATACTCTCGATTATGAATTGTAATGCAAAATACTCTCGATTTTATGAATTGTATTTTTTTTTATTCTCTTGCATCAACTATCCTTTTATATGAGTGGATTAAACCCTAGTCGATCCCACCAAAAAAATAGTTATTTTAACTCAATTAACTTCCTTTTCCTTATAAAGGAGTCTTCTTCACTTCTTTTCCTTATTCACGAGTCTTCACTTTTTAATAAGGCTTTTCCAATTCCCGCATTTTCACCTGATTCTGCTCCAAGACTATGAACTGATTCACTTTGTCATTATCAAAATTATTTTTATATTCTTTATCAAATAATTGAAGTCTTCAGATTTGACGAGTTTGTTCGAATTATTCCTCACCTTTGCTAGTTTTTCTCTTTTTCTTACATAATGCAAAGAATAAAAAAAATTATGAGTCCATTACTTAATATTTTGTGAAAGATATTTAGCAAGAGTGTAATTTTGGACTTTAAAACATACATTTATTTATTTATTTGGAATATAAAAAAACTTTTTACCAAATAATTGTTTATTTTGTAAAAAAAAAAAAACTTTTTACCAAATAATTATTTATTTTGTAAAAATAAAATAATATAAAAAATATTTTGTCTAGAATAAGGAGACAAAAGTTCTACAATCTTCCATTTCTAGTATATCCTAAAACCCTACCGGCCGGCAGTGATCATTTTCAGCTCAAAAAATGTCCGATATTCCGCCGGAGATTCTCTCCGATATACTTTCTCGACTTCCGGTGAAGTCGTTGTTAAGATTCAGGTGCGTATCGAAATCCATCAAAACCCTTATCGATAGCCCTGAATTCATCGAAGCTCATCTCAAAAATCAAGTACTGAAACCAAATTCTGATATGAAGCTGATTCTCAAAGCTCACATTGATGCTGATAACCTTTTCTCGCTTGATTTCGCTTCAATGGCGTCGACCCAAATTCCCAGGGAGCTTGCACATCCACTGAAACATCTCTATGGACCGACTCAGGTACTGGGTTCTTGTCGTGGGTTGGTTTTAATTTCTAATAACATGAATGATAATGGTGTTTGGAATCCTTCTACTAAGGTGTTTAGGAAGTTACCCTTTTGTCATATAAACCCTCCGAGGAAACCCCTGGGTGGACAGGGTCCTGGGTTGTCTCAGATTCGTGGGGGGTTTGGGTATGATCGTTTAGCTGATGATTATAAGGTGGTTACGATTGCACAATTGTATCATCCTGATGCTGAACCTTCGTTGGTTTCGGAAACAATGGTTTTTAGTTTGAAGTTGGATGTGTGGAAGAAGGTTCAGGATTGTCCTTACTGGTTGCTTAAAGAGGATAATGGGACTTGTGCTGGAGGTGCATTGCATTGGATTGTAACGAAGGAACCGTCAGCTTGGTGGAGTCCTTTGATTCTTGTGGGGCTTAATCTTCAAAATGGGACTTTTCAGGAGGTGGAGTATCCGGAGGATTTGGGGAATCCGCAACAGATAAATTTGGCTGTGTTGGGAGAATGTCTTTGCTTGCTTAAAGGTCATCTCACTTGTTCAAATGCAAAGAATCATGTGTTGGATCGTATTGACGTATGGATGATGAAGGATTACGGAGTGAAAGAGTCTTGGGTTAAGTTGTTTTCGGTGGAGCAGTTAGAGGGTCGTCAACATTTCCGTAACTTGAGGCCAATAACATATTCAGTGACTGGTAAGGAAGTTCTTATGGAAATGGATAATAGGAAGTTTCTTTGGTATAGTCTTGAAAGGAAGTCGCTCAAATATGCTAAGATGAACAGTAAATTGGACACTTTTGAATCCATTGTCTGTTTGGGAAGTCTTGTTCCTTTATATGGAGGTCGCAATGAAAAGGATAGGAAGAAAGGGATTGAGCAACGAGAATGACTCGGTGACAGTGGCAATCAAATGGAACTCTGAGGCAGTATTAACATTATAGAGGTAATTGAAATGCATGTTTTATCTTATAGCATTATGTTACCACTTCATACTGCATTTCAGTGTAACTTCTAAAAGTTTGGAAGTTGAGATTGTCATATCTTTGTTGACTACTTTTTCTGGTTGTCTAATCCTGCCCTCTCAATCATAAAACTGTCATAACTTGGTCCAATATAAATTCGAAAGTCGTCGAGCTGGTTCAAATTTCTTGACCTCGGAAGAAAAATAACTGTCTGTGGTCGATTTCTTTCTTGTTATTCTTTTGCTAAAATGTCTAAAGGGCAATCAAAAACTAAAAAACACCAAAGGAGCGAAGGCGCAGACCTACCCATGTCTTGACCCTTGTCCTGTTAACGCTGTTTAACAATGTTAAAGGGGAAGGTGCATGGCCCCAGACACCTTATAATGTGCAGGTTCACGACGCTTTACACCCTGGTGGACCCCTTTCCCTTCTCACCTCAACCGCCACATGCACACTGCCGCAACCCCCTTCCCCTCAATTACTGCAGTATGTTCATCTCAAGAAGTTGTCTCTTTTTTATCGTCCAAATGCTTTGTATCTCATTTGACTTTTTATGTTTATTTTTTCTTCCACTTCTAATACCATTATATCAATAGAAAAAATAGGAAAGGGCACATTACTGTGAAAACGATTTATGAAGTAAAATCCTTTGTTTTACTGTGTTGTACTTCATTCCCGACATACCTTTTAATGAAAAAAATTATAATCTATGACGTATTTAAGATTATATGTATACAGTTATTATTTTTCCATATTTACATCACAAATTCAAACATCTCTTATTTTTTCCTTATTTTGTATTAATTTAGATTATACCACACCTATTAAAACAGGTGAATTAGTAAACTCTCGTTTGGATAGATTTTGAAATTGAAAGTTTGAGTTTTTGAAGTGGACTTGCATTTTACTTTATTTTTTGTGAAGTTTTGTTAGTGGAAGTCTCAAATGACTAATCTAAGCCAGTTTTTGATGACTCTAAAACCAGATTCTCAATATCAAATCAAATTTCATTATCAAACGCTAGTTAAATATCTAGTAAAATAATTGAGATGAGCCTAGACTTACTAACATATCATCATCATTAGTGGTAAAAGTGGCACAAAATAATGACCAAAAGGGAGGAGAGGGGGGGGGGGGGGGCAGTGTGTGTGTGGCAGCTGAGGTGTGAGAAGGGGAAGGGTCCACCAGGGTGTAAGGCGTGGTGAACCCTGTGCCTTATAAGGTGTGTGGAGCTGTGCGGCTTCCCCTTAACATTGTTAGACGGTGTTAACAGGAGAAGGGGCAAGGCGTTGGCCTTCTCCTCTTTTGTATTTTTCAGTTTTTCATTGCCCTTTTGGCATTTTAGCAAAAAATTGTTGCCATTTTGGCTCTGGACTCTTGTTCTTTTTAGTTCTTTTACTTCTTAGTGTCACTGACAATCCATCTATCATTATCTTGTTTCCAAGTTCACTTTTCATTCATATAGACGTCAAGTTTCCTTTTTTTAACGACACGTCATTTTGCTGCATAGTCTTATTTCCATCTTTTTTCCTTGAAGTAACCACAGAAAAGCTTAAAATTAGAGTAGAGACAAGTGAAATGCATGTTTCATCTTATACGGGGAACAAGAATATAGGTCCAAAACCTGATTCTCTTTTTTTTCTCAGTGTGATGGGGAAACACATTATAATTTAAAATGTTTGCAGGACTTGTGATCAAAAGAGTCTTGCTAGTCAAACCAAAGGTTTGGAGTTAAGATTGTCTTATCTTAGTCGACTACTTTTCTGCTTGCCTTCTCCATTTAAAACCTTTCGTATCTTTTCTCCAAGATAAATTTGAAAATCATCAAATTTGTTCAGTTTCTTTGACCTTACCAGAAAAATGACCGAGTCTATTACAGACCGCTTTACAAAATTACAACTTGGAATGTGTTTACTTTGGATCATCGACTCTCTTGCCGTTCTTGTAGTTCCCCATTATTTCTAAGTGACACTGATAATCGATCTACCCATTATCTTGTTCTCAAGTTGAGTTTCATTCAAATAGACATCTAATCAAAGACGTTTTTACAATCATTAAATAGTTCAATAAATTCTGAATCCTCCACATCATTGCGTCCTCCCTGCATCTTTTTTTCCTCTTTTAACTTGCATTACACTTTAGCTATTGTCTTCTATTTTTGAACTTCACGTTACATTTCTAAGTTGGTGATAATAATGGTTACGAATGGCCACCCCGTTGTACATCTGGCCATTACGCAATGGGATAACTGATGAAGAAGTGTGTGATTGGGCATGCTAACTATTACAACCAAATGCTTTAGATGGAGTAAGTTTCATGTACCAATTAAGGGCCCCTTTCCGCCTCCCACATACAAACGCTCTTTTATGGAACATTCACTTTACTTGTTTGTACCGATTCCTTCAACATCGTTCATAACAATGATTCATTGTTCTTGCAGGGGGATGTGTTTCAGTTTACAAAGGGATGAAGAATATAGAGAAGAACCTTACTGATATATATACAAGTGCAATACCTGACTTTTATCTTTTGTTAGCAAACACAAGTTGTTGTTGTGTCTGAAAAACTAATACATTGAAGTAACTGTTACTTTGCTATCTAATCTAGACGCGTAAAAACCGCCTGAGGAAGCGTCGTACTGTTAGTATTAACTATTAACTAGCAAGTATAGCAGTCTCTTTAACTGCTGGAAAATTGTGGTTATTACTAATATTTTGCCTGTTGATTGTGTTGTTGCTATTTCGTAATTAGCTTATTAGTATAATGTTCTAATGTGTGTTAATCTGTGAGATTATTTGCGTCTGTGTTTTCGTTTTTTTTCGTTTTTAAATGATGGAGGTGCTCAACCATTCGAGTAAAGTCTCACTTGTTTGGTCATTTCTATCAACGTCACACTCCATTTCGTTCACTTTTACTTGTCCATTAACGACTTCAGGTTGTGCCTCCGACTTTGTTGCTTTCGCCCTTTATCGTCTTGTTTGTGTTTATTCTTCATTGTTAACTTTGTGGAGTGGTAAAACCATGAACATGTATGTACCAATTAACCTATTGCTAATTGGTTATAATTTAGACAATTAACTAGGCATTAGTATATAGCATTAGCATAATATGTATATTTTGATTAAATTTTGGTTCTTCATATTCATAGGTTTTGATAATATCAAATCATGCATTGTAATCTCAACAAATGAGTGAGTCACATATAATAGTTTAATTTTAATAATATTGACATTATCTACGATAATATAAAACACATAATTCGATATATACGTACAATGCATATGCCATTGAAAAGCTAGTATATAATAAAAAAATATACGATTACTAATTTTCTAACTTAGATAGCGATTACGTATATTTAAGAAATTTTGACTTAGATATCGAGTTATATAATAATTTGCAACCCATCAATTCGAATTATTGACTTTTTGTGCATTGTGTTAATTTTAAATCACTTTGCCTAATCTTGCTTTCGGCTATATTTAGTGAAATATTTTGTTCGATTTATTTTTATTTGTTAAATAATTTTAAAATAATTTATTTATTTATTTATCATTTTGAAACAATTTAATTTTTACTTTTAATATTATTTTTTCCAATTACTTCTTAATATCAATACTATGCATTAATTAGTAGAAATATTATACTAAAATATTTATATTAATCATCATGAATTTTCATATTAATCATCATGAATTTTACCAATAAATCTATTATAGGTAAAAATTAGACCTCATTCTTTTGAATTAGAAGTCTAAGGGTTAAGTTTTAGATTTATTTTTTGTTTAGTTACTTTCCTTTTTAATTGATCATACGCGTCTCAATATCGAATTAATTGGGAAATTTAATAAAAATATCAAACATCAGATGAAAAAAAACTAAGGCTTTCAAAATTTGACATCTTGTTGCTAAAATGGTTAATATAAGTTAAATTTACGTATTAGCATAAAATAGATGTATTTAATTAAAAGAGAAAAAAAATACAAGAATATACAATTCTAAGACTTTAAATTACATAATATTATTCTAGTCTTTTTATTTATAACATTAATATTTTAATCATAAATATGATAATTTATTATAAAACAAATAACTACACAATTTAAGACTTATTTTATTGATTAGTGGGCTGATTTTATGGAAATCATAATTTACCTTTTATTTTATTTAATTTTTAGAATCTCAATCACAATTATATTACTATAGATAATACTATAAGAAAAAGTCCCGTTTAAGGAATATTTAGTGGAGTATAAAATCGAACTGAAAATCGAATCAAATCGTAAATCGAATCAAATTGAAAAAAATCTGATCAATGGTTTAGTTTGACTTGGTTTGATATTGAAAAAAAAAACCCGACTATATTTGAATTGGTTTGATTTTAACTAGAAAAATCAACCCGACATTATATATGAAACATGTCCATCAAAGTAGGTTGAGTTAGATTTATAGTCATATACAGTAGCTTAGTCGTACATAACATAGTCTAGTCCTAGTATGACTCCAACTCTAACTCGTCAGCCTGCTTCGATGATCATGTTCCTTCGACATGTTCCATTAGTCTTCAAGCTTCCTTCAACACCTCCCTGGTCCCCTCCCACCAATTACATATTTTTGAGGAAAAAATCACAAAAATACACTATTTAATTAATACCTTAATTTACATAATATTGTTATACTATTTTATTTTATTTTTACAATATTAACATTTTGATTCTTCATAATCATAAGTTCAGACAATATCCAATCATTCATCTTAACCTCAATAAATGAATCACATATAATTATGTAATTTTATAATTGTATTAACATTATCTACAATAAAATATTACATAACTTAATATATAGGTACAATGCACATGTCTCCAAAACCCAGTATAATAAAAAAGATATAACACAACCTTATCAACATTGAGGTAGTAAAGGGATGGTGAGTCTTCAACATCATCACAAAACTTTATTTTGTTTGATTATAAGGGGGTCCATTTTATTTTTTTAAAAGAAAATTATGTTATATATATATATATATTACATGTGAAATATCCTTTGACTTTTTTTCTATATTTACTTTTCATATATATTTTAATTTTTCTTCGTTGAAATTCTGACATAGGTATCAATTGCTTCTAAGAAAGAAATTATAGATGATAAAATATTAACCGATCAATTTGAGTTTCTGACTTTTTTTTTGAAATTGTGTTAATGTGAACTCCCATAAAATTATTTTATACACACACATATAACAAGTATTAATTTTTAATATATTTTTTATCTATTATATTTTAGATTTGCTTAATAAAAATTCTGACTTTATTATTGGTATTTTATCAAAATTATTGTAGCTAATGTTGACATTCTTCTTATCATGTTTCCATTGCTTGCCTCCTAAAACTTCACTAAGGTTGAAAATAATATAATTATCATATTCCTCTCTACAATAATTATAATTAAAATAATTGACAAACAAAGCAAAAACAATAACTCTTATATAAATATAATATAATATAATATTATCTTTTTCTAGATGCCTACCTCATTTTTTTTCATAAGTCAACTGAATTATTTTTTAATTTATTTTTACTTATTATAAAAGTTAAACTAATATGAATTTTAATTAATATTTTAAAATATATATTTTCATCATATTAAATTATAAATAAAAAATGCTGAGTTAATTAAATTCAATTTAACAATCTTAATCATAAAGAATTGAGCAAAAACTTATATTGTAGAATATGAGATTACTTTGGCAATGTTAAATGGTAATTTTTATACAATGTCAATTTTTTGTTTTATGTAATATTCAATTACAAGAATTAATTTCAACTAAATATTTATTTTTTTATTATTTCTTTTTACAAACAATTATTATTGTCCCTCAACTTAAATTCGGAATAACTCAAAACTACGATAAATAATATAGCGTACCAAGGTATACTTGAATTCGATTTTATTTTTCGTGCCATTCTTATAGTAAATAAAATAAATTCATCGTTATTGATTTTTAAAAAAGGCCAAAATCCATCGTTGGCGCTCTAAAGTTGGCATCAAATTTCACTTACATACCTTAGCTGAGGGATACTCATTTTAGACATCTCATGTAGGGTCCTGTTTTGTCATTTTGATATTTTTTATTAACATATCAAAGTGAGTGATACACTCAATAATAGCACGTGAAAGGTTTAATTTAACCAATTTCATATTTTATTTTCTCTTCTTTTTCTTCATTGTATAACTTTTCCAAAATTTACCATCACATCCCTCTACCATTTTTGCCAGATATATTAACGCCATATATTATATTTGATTCCTCCTTCTTTCTTTTCCCACTAAACAATACTAAAAAGAAAGAAAAATAGAAAAAGAAAAGAAAAAACACAAAAGAGATATAGAGGGTATGAAAAAAGACGATTTTCGATTTCACCTTTTTCGCCAGAAAAAAATGGATACGAACACTCATATATTATAGTTTTTCTTTCTTTCTCTCCTTGTCTCCCTCCTCCTCCTCTCTTTCTCTCTCAAAACAACACTTAGAAAGAAAAAAAGAACCTAAAACAATTTTAAAGAGCAAATTGAGAAAATTATTGGGTATAGCAAAAGAAGATAACTACATGGGGCAGAGAGGCGAGGGGAGGGGTTAAATTGATTTTTTAAGAATCATATTTTTATTTTATTTATTAAATAAATTTTAAACTTAAAATAACACATTTAATCATATAATTCGTCGTTTGTCACGTCATCAACGAGTGTATTACACTCTTCTTTAACATTTTTCTTATCATAAAAGAAGTGTCAAAAAAATATAACAATACATTTCATGAGGTGTCTAAAATGAACAAGCACAATTAAAAAATATTTTACATAAGATATGAAATTTAATGCCAACTTTTAAAAAATCATCAATGAATTTGAAGGAAAAAAAAAGTACATGATATCATGTTCAAAAATAATAACTCACCTAATGCACATGGAACTACAAAAACCTATTAGCCTAAAAAAAATTACAAATAGTTTAGAAATATTTTTAGCCTTTTCCCATTTTGTCTTTACTACAAAAACCTATTTGCCTAAAAATTTCTATAAAAAAAAAGCATATGCAACAACCTTTTGAAGAACTTATAATTGAACCAAAAAATAAACCAACCATCCTTTCTCTTCCAAAAAATGGAGTTTTTCAACTTAATTTCCATTTCCCTTTTTGTATCTTTCCTCTTTTTATTAAAGAAATTGAAGAATTCCAATAGCCAAATCAACAAAAGTTTGCCACCTGGTCCATGGAAATTACCATTTGTTGGAAGTATGTTCCATATGATAGGTGGACTTCCACATCGTGTCCTTAGAGATTTAGCGAAAAAATATGGATCGATTCTACACCTTCAACTAGGTGAAGTTTCTCTGGTTGTTGTTACTTCTCCTATCATGGCCAAACAAGTGTTAAAAACTCATGACCTCGCTTTTGCATCTAGGCCAAGGCTTTTAGCCGCCGAAATCGTCTTGTACAATTGTACAGACATTGCATTTTGTCCATATGGTGATTACTGGAGACAGATGCGCAAAATATGTGTCTTAGAAGTACTTAGCGGAAAAAATGTCCGGTCATTCGGTTCGATTAGACAAGATGAAACTATTCGTCTAGTTGAATTTTTTAGGTCATCATCCTCTAGTGAGCCAGTTAATGTAACAAAAAGGATTTCATTGTTCACAAGCTTTATAATATGTAGATCAGCATTTGGTACAATATTCAAGGAGCAAGATGAATTTATACAAGTGATGAAAGGTGTCACATCTTTATTGGAAGGGTTCAATGTGGCTGACATATTCCCATCATTGAAATTTCTTCATGTGTTAAGTGGGATGAAAAGTAAAACCATGTATCTCCACCATAAGGTGGATACAATTGTTGAGAATGTCATAAATGAGCACAAGAAAAATCTTGTAAATGGCAAGACTAATGGTGAATTAGGAGGTGAAGATTTAATTGATGTACTATTGAGACTTATGGAAGATGGAGACCTTCAATTTCCAATCACCAATGACAACATCAAAGCTATTGTTTATGTAAGTACTTTTAACTAATAATTACTATATACTATACAATTTTTGCCTAATTATTATTTAACATATACTTGAGGTGTGTTTGGTACTTTCTAGAGGAGCCTCTTACCTATTTTTTGATGTTTGATCAATAAATAAAAATGATTTGTATAATCTAGGTAAATATTATGGCAATAAGGGCAATATTCCTAGGGGTGATGGGGACAAGGGCTATAGTCCGAGGGGTGGTGGGATAAGTGTTAGGATCGAATCCACACACACTTGATGATTTTAGAACACAAGAACTTGAGAGAGAGAGATGAGAGATCTAGAGAGAGAAAGAGAGAAATCAATAGTTCGTGGTAACACCCCTGGGTAAACTTCCACGGCGGTGGGGTATATATTAATGATACAGACTATGAACAGTTACAGAGAATAAATGGAGAATGAATTGTACATCCTAAAATATTAATATATGATTGTACATCAAATATTAATCAGGCTCCACAACCTAACAATAAGGGTTGATCAAATAATCCAAAGGATTACATAAATAATGATGGGAAAATGTTATGAAAAATACTCTAACTTTGATCGAAATTGTTGTTACGATATCAAATTTTATGAAGAATCTTTTACCCTCTCCAATTTCGATCTTTTTTTTTCCAATATGAATTAATTTAACCTTGCAACTTTGCTCTCAAATGTAGGACATGTTTGCAGCAGGAACAGAAACAACATCAACCACAATTGATTGGGCCATGGTGGAAATGATTAAGAATTCAAGTATACTTGTCAAAGCTCAAAAAGAGGTAAGAGAAGTCTTTAGAGGAAAAGATACTTTTGATGAAAATGATGTTGAAGAATTGAAATACCTAAAGCTAGTAGTTAAAGAAACTTTAAGACTCCATCCTCCACTTCCACTTATGCTCCCAAGAGAATGTAGGGAAGAAGTAGATATAGATGGCTATACTATTCCTTCCAAAACAAAACTAATAGTTAATGTATGGGCTATCGGAAGAGATCCGAAATATTGGGACGATGCAGAAAGCTTTAAACCTGAGAGATTCGAACAAAGCTCGTTGGATTTTGTTGGTAATAATTTTGAATTCCTTCCATTTGGTAGTGGAAGGAGGATTTGTCCTGGAATATCATTTGGTTTAGCTAATGTATATCTGCCTTTGGCTAACTTATTGTATCACTTTGATTGGAAACTTCCTCCTGGAATTAAACCAAGTGATCTCGACATGACTGAGTCAGACGGAGCAAGTTGTACTAGAAAGAGTAACCTTTATTTGATCATGACGCCCTATCAACCTTCTCAAGAGTGACTCAATGGCATCATGAAACTAATGTAGTGATTGGCCTTACAAAGCTCACTACGTGTAACGTATTGCTTCTCCCTTCCCCCTCTTGGTTTTAATTTTTTTTCTTCTTATTGTATTGTATGTTTTTACTATTTGTAACATGTATGTATATATATATATGTATTTCTGTTATATAGTTAATTAATCATGATACTTATATACATAGAACGCCATGTTAACCCCCCCCCACCCTACACACTCCTAATCTCCTATTTCCATTTAGTGGCAGAGTTAGGATTTTGAATGAGATTAGTTAATAGTTATCTTGTGATAAGTTATCCTGAGATTAGTTATCTCAAAATTGTTTTTAATTTACTGTTAGATTTGTTGTCTTAAAACTAGGGATAATACACAAGTACCCCCTCAACCTATATCCGAAATTTAAGAGACACGCTTATACTATACTAAGGTCCTATTACCCCCTCCCCACCCTCTGAACTTATTTTATTAAGAATTTTCTACTCCATTTAGGCCTACGTGACACTATTTTGTGGGTCCAACGCTGATTGATTTTTTTTTCAAGATAGTGTCACGTAGGTCGAAAAGCGGTAGAATAAGTTCAGGGGGTAATAGGACTTTAGTAAAATATAAGTGTTTCATTGAGATTTCGAGCATAGATTGAGGGGATACTCGTGCATTTTTTCTTAAAAACTAATAACCATTATATATTTTCTAAGAGTAAGTTGTTTGTTTCAAAGACATTATCTCAATTTAATATATTGAGGGTTTAATAAGAAAGAAAAATATCATCCTAAATACGAAGTTAAGAAATTTAAATTGAGTGATTTTTTTGATACCCAACAAACTTTAATGACTTTGATAGATCAAATCATAAAGTTGAGTTATTTTATTGATATAAAATCTAAATTCAGTAAAAAAAAATTATACAAAATAAATTTTTAATAAATTTGCTAAATTAATTCCTAAAATTGAATAATTTTTTAAGGTATTAACTCTAATATTTGATTATCAAAAAGAAGAAAAACACAAAAAGGAAAAAGGAAAAAAAGTTGAAAAAGTTCATTTTTTGGCCTTTTTTATTTTAGGAAGAAATGAGAATTGTCTAGAATAGCATTTTATTTTCAACTCTTATGAAATTGCACAGATTTTTTAGTTGACTTTAACTCTTATAAGATTATTTTATTCTTTTCTTCAACTTTTATGAGATAAGAAAGAAACTATTTTAATCATCTAATTATTGTGGAGTTGGATATTTTGATAACTGTCCTACTGAGTTCTTACATAAATAATATAAATTATACAGGTTATTGATCGGTTTAAAAGTTATTAAATTGTAATAATAAGACGATATGATATATATATATATATATATAAATATATTTTTAACTCTAGTTTTATTTTATATTTATGTCCTTCAATTTTGAATGTACACTAATAGACACTTAAATTTATATAAAATTAAATAAATAGACACGCCTTAAATGACATTCTTGATAAATGAATGTATTATTGATTCGTCTAGAATTATTTATATTGAAATGGATTAAAATGTAAATTATAATTTAATTTGTTCGGTTCATATTAGGTTTTGATTGTTGTATTTATTTTTTAATTTGAATCATATGTGTCATATTACGTATCAATTAAAATTTTATTTGATATCCTACGTGCATTATGCTTTACAGGATTCATGTGTCTTCTTGTTTAATTTTTTTTTAATTTGAATCATATGTGTCATATTATGTATCAATTAAAATTTTATTTGGTATCCTACGTGAATTATGTTTTACAGGAGTCATGTGTCTTCTTATTCAACTTTATACAAATTTAAATGTTTATTTATGTATATTTAAAATTGAAGAATACAATATAAATGATATTAAGTTAAAAATACATATTCATGTGCTATGCCTTAAATTTTAGTTGCTTTATTTCTTTGTTATTATATACTTTTAGTACTTTATGATTTTTTTTATTGATTATGCCTATATATATCATATTAAATTTAAAAGATAGAATAAAATGAATTGAGCTAATGGTACTATCATTCAATGAACATGTTAGGTGTGTTGAATGAATTGAAGTGGATTTAATAAATTGAATTAATAAATGAGAGAATTATTAATTTTTTAAAAGTAATTAAAACTGAAATAGATTATAATTTAATTCGTTTAATTTTTATTAAGTTCTAATTATTTTGTTTTTTTATATAAACTTTTAGTATCTAATAAAATTATTTATTTCTTTATTACGATATATAACATATCAAATTAAAAAAATTAAAATATTTTAAGAAAATTATTAATTTAAATTATAACTTAACTTAATTTTTTAATAGATTGAAATAAATTAAATTAGTAAATGATCAAATCTCCACCCAAATTTGAATTGAACTGGTAAGGTTAGGATGATTTTGTCACTCATATGGCACACTATTCAATGAGTAGAAAGCTTCTTTATTCAATTGTTTTATTTGTTTATTATATATTAAAAATAAATATTATTTTATTTATTTAAAATCTCAAACATATAAAATATAATCACAGAGATGAGATCAAGAGTTTATATAGTCTTATCTCCTATCTTGAAAAAATAGAGATTGTTTTTCTATAAATATTTTTATATGAATTTAAAAAAATTAAGAGATAATTTATTATTTTAATTTTTACTATTAAGAAATATATATTTTTCAATAGAAAATATATTTTTTACGAATTAAGGATGTTTTTATAAAATTAAAATTTGATTTATTACTTCTTAAGGATTGCATTAGATAAAAAATGACATATAAATATGAACAGAGATGATATAATTTTTATTTAATATTTGAGGTATAAATTCGATGAAACTAGTAATTTAAATTTAAATTTTATACATAATTTGAAATTGCATTTATTACATATATAAGTATATATTTAGAATCCAAAAAAATAAAAATAATTATACAATCCAAAATTCTTAAAGTAAAATTTTTAGTTTAGCGCCTCTCACTCTCTCTTTCTTAAGTCAGCGATCTTGAGCTGGGTGAGGATTTTTTTTTTTCTATTTTTTAAAATATTTTCTTGGAGTTTTGTCTTTTTTTTTTTTTTTTGCATTTAATGATTGAAAATACATAATTTTAGGTTTAATATTAAGGGCGCTTACTATTCAAACAACTTTCTCTTATTTTTTTCCTTTTAATTTTAATTTGTTACCTGAAGCTTCTAGCTTTTTATTCGAGTGATGACTCATATTCACATTCTATAAAAAAAAAAAAAAGGACTATTTACATCCGAGCAACTCCTTGACATGAACCTTATCTTTTTAATTAATAAATAATCAGTATACATAGAAGGAGGGGTACATAAAATCAAAACCTCCTTCTTGAACTAATTATTGAAAAAGAGCTTGGTCATGATTTATGAAACATCATAACAAGATCAAATAGGAAATTTTGGATTGAGAAGTTTGAAGGTTGTTAGTTGTTGGCTAGCTATTGATAAGGAGTGGCGATCAAATATAAGTTATTTTTTCTAGCACATGTTGATCCAGCAGACTCAGTTAAGTCCAATTCACTTGAATTGATCCCATTAGGAAGTTTCCAGTCAAAGTGATATAACAATTGAGCCAGTGGAAAATAAACATTAGCTAAGCCAAATGATATTCCAGGACAATTCCTTCTTCCACTACCGAAGGGAAGATACTCAAAGTTGTTACCAATAAAATCCATAGAGTTATCCTCAAATCTTTCAGGTTTGAAGCTTTCTGCGTCATCCCAATATTTAGGATCTCTTCCAATAGCCCATGCGTTAACCATAACTTTTGTTTTCAAAGGAATAGTGTATCCATTTATTTCTACTTCTTCCCTACATTCCCTTGGGAGCAAAAGGGGAAATGGAGGATGCAGTCTAAAACTTTCTTTAACGACCAACTTTAGGTATTTCAATTCTTCGACATCATTTTCATCAAATGTTTCTTTACCTTTGAACGCGTTTCTTACCTCTTCTTGAGCTTTGGAGAGTACATTTGGATTTCTCATCATTTCCACCATGATCCAATCAATTGTCGCTGAAGAAGTTTCTGTTCCCGCGGCAAATATGTCCTTCATTTATAAATCAAGTTACAATATTACATTATCTTCTCCCAAATACAATAATAGTGAGGGTATGAATTATGTCATATATTATATACTTACAAAAATAATAGCTTTGATGTTGTCGTTGGTGATGGGAAATTGAAGGCCCCCCTCTTTCATTAGTCTTAGCAATGTGGAAACTAAACCTTCACCTCCTAATTCACCATTGTTTTTGTGCTCATTGATGATGTTTTCAAGAATGGCATCTAATTCATGGTGGACATCCATGATTTTACTCTTCATTCCACATAACACATGAAGAAATTTTAGTGATGGGAATATATCAGCGACATCAAATCCTTCCGTTAAGCGTGACACCTTTTTGACCAATTGTATAAGTTCGTCTTGCTCTTTGAATACTTTCCCAAAAGCTGATCTACAAGTCATAGAGCTCGCGAATTGAAAGATCCTTCTTGTTGCATTAACTGTCTCACCAGAAGATGATCGAAAAAATTCAATCATACGAAGAACTTCATCTTGCCTAATAGAGCTGAATGACTTGACATTTTTGGCACTAAGCAATTCCATGATGCAAATTTTACGCATTTGTCTCCAGTAATCACCATAAGGAGAAAAAACAATGTCGCTCCCATTATAACAAACTATCTCGGCGGCTATAAGCATTGGCCTAGATGCAAAAGCGATGTCATGAGTTTTTAGTACTTGTTTGGCCATGTCTGGAGAAGTAACAACAACTAGAGAGACTTCACCTAATTGAAGGTGCATAATAGAACCATATTTTTTAGCTAAATCTCTAAGGACACGATGTGGAGGTCCACCTAACAAATGAAATATGTTTCCAAGTAAGGGTAATTTCCATGGACCAGGAGGCAATTTTTTTCTAATTTGGTCATTGGAATTCTTCCAATATTTAATTAACAAAAAGAGGAAAGACACAAAAATGAAAAGAGAAAAAATGTTGAAGAAGTGCATATTTTGGCTTGTTAGGTTATGAAAAGTGTTGTTGCATATCTTTTATAGGCTTGATAAGAAATGAAGTTTGTAGTGTGTAGCAAAAAGGATTTATTTTTTAAGTGAAGATGA